CTACACTCGTTCTTTAAAGTTCAAAGTGGGGATACAGCCTTGACAGGGTGTCTGGATTCAAGCTAAAGAAAGAAAAATGGGTTTTGGCCTATAACAGATTGAATGTTTGGGACAGATAATAAACAAAGATGGAATTAATCCTAGCCCTGAGAAAGTAAAAGCAATTGCAGAGTTGAATGCACCAACAAGAGTGCCTGCAAGGAGATGCATACTAGGGATGGTACACTATCTTGGCCGATACCTGCACAATCTTTCTAAACAGTGGCAAAACCACTCAATGAACCGTTAAGGTGCAATGCAGCCTGGCTGTGGGGACCAACTCAAGAGACTGCCTTCCAAAGGGTAAAAGAAATGATCCAGTTTCAAAGTTCTACGGTATAACCAATCTCACAGTGGTCAGTGCTGATGTCAATAGCTGCGAGCGTGGTGGCGTATTGTTGCAGCTGTGAGGACCTGAGTGGAAACCAGTTGCATTCGGCTCTCGTATACTTACAAAAGCAGCAAGATGATGTGTAGATTGAAAAGGAGTGCCTGGCAAGCATATGGGCATGTGGGAACTTCTACAGATATCTGTAAACTGACAACCGACCCTACGCCTCTTGTAACCCTCATCAATGGGAAAAACCTGGATCAAGCACCACAAAGGTGCCAATGTCTTTTGATTAGGCTAATGTGATTCAATCCGATTGCTGAATATGTTTCTGGTCAAAACCTGGTAAGAGCAGACATGTCCCAGAGTCCAGCATCGTACTCAAACACCTCTTTGTGTTCCCTCTTCTGAGGAGGATCCACTTCTTCCACACCAACCCCTCTGCAGAGAAGTTGGGGGAAACTGGCTTTATCTAGAATGCAGTTACTTTGACCAGCCTATGTATAGATACATGCCTGTGCCCCAGCCTCCTGTCCCTGACTATGAGGAGTATGAGCGAAGAGTAAAGTAAAAGCCCAAAGACATAAGGATACAGGCAGATCATACAATCAAACGTGAGTTAATAGGGTTTCCACCCATCTGGGTTTTGCCCGGACAGTCGTGTTTTTGGCTTCTGTCTCCAGGTTTCATTAATGGTTTACAGGTACCCAGATTTCAACCAGAAATTCTGGTCAAAAAGGGGACCTGGCAGTATCCGGTTACTGCGGGGTGGAGAGAGGCATTGGGTCATTAACCCACGGCAGCCTCTGCTCAGCTGTGGCCACCTCCTACCTGCAGCCAGGCTCCTTGTCAGGCTGCAGCAGCTCCCTTCCCAGACATGGAGCAGAAGGAGCCCAGGTGTGGGAGGAGGTGGAGATTATCCAACAAGTGGCGTGGTGAGGGGAGAAGAGGGATGGACCTGGAGGGAAAAAATGCAGAAGGCTGTGGAGACACAAGCAAAGAGGTGCAAAAATGGGTGGGGCCTTGAGGGAAGATGTGGAGCAGGGGAAAGAAGCGGGGCAGAGGCAGGTCTCAGGGCTTCAGTTGCCATCAATTAGAATGATGGCAACCCTATGAGTTACAGAATTGTACAAAGACCGGTTCCTCAGTTTGTCATGCTGAGACAGCAGGGCAAGGTCAGGAAAGTGTTTAATGTCTATTTGACTGTCCAGTCAGTGATTCAGGGAAGAGGGTCCAGCACCATATCACCAGCCAGCTCTGCACGGAGCTCTGTCTGAGCGCCAGAGCACCAGGAAAAAAACATTATTCCCTGTATGAGTAAAGTGCCGGAGTAGCCTGTCCCAGGTCTGTTTGGTCCTTAGCCCGTAGGTGATGGGGTTTAGCATGGGGGGACACCAGGAGGTACACACTGGCCATGAAAACATAGAATTGCAGGTCCACACTGTGGCCAAAATGGTACGTGAGGGAGGAGAAGATAACTAGGATGTAAAAGGTTAAGATGGTGCAGAGTTGGGAGCCGCAGGTCCCAAAATTCTTGAGCCGGGCGCCCTTTGTGGAGAGGCTGAAGATGGCCCTGAGGATCTGGATATAGGACATGGCAATAAAAATCACATCCAGACCAGTCACCCAAATTGCCACCGAGAGACCATAATAACTACTGATGTGGGTGTCAATGCAGGCCAGCTTCACCACAGCCCTGTGCTCACAGTACGAGTGGGGGATGATGTTTGTTCTACAATATGTCCACCACCTCGCCAGGAAGGTATAGGGCAGTACGAGAATGCCACCATGTAGCACTATGTCCGGGACAATTTTGGCCACCGTGGGGTTTGTCAGGGTGGCAGAATGGCTCAGGGGATCACAGATGCCCACATAGCAATCCAAAGCGATGGTCATGAAGATCCCAGACTCCATCACTGAGAACGAGTGAATGAAGTACATCTGGGTGAGGCAGGCACAGAAATCGATCTCCCTGGAATTGAACAAGAAGATGCTCAGTGTTTTGAGCAGGATGGACATAGACAGGACCAGGTCGGTGACAGCCAGCATGCAGAGGAAATAGTACATGGGTCCATGGAGGCTTGAGTCCATCTTCACAATGAACAGGATGGTGAAGTTCTCAAAAATGGCTATGGCATACATGGTACAAAAGATGCAGACATTGGCTGCCTCCAGTCCAGGAATGCCCAGCAGGATGAAGGTGTAGGGGTTGGTGAAATCGGTTGTGTTGGAATCTGACATGGAGTAGGGGAGAAGGTGTCCAACTCTTTCGCAGAACAGTGACTCCTGCATGTACCGTACGTTCCCCTGACTTCCTGTATGTGCCCAGGGTCTAGGGGATGGATGCAGTACAAATACCTGGATGGAGAGACAATGTTAATATGAGACACTACATGCACTACTGGA